TCCTTTTATAGGTAAATTTAAAAATATGAGTATAAAACCTGGAAGTCCCTGAGTTGACCCCTAGCCACCCCACTGCTGAGCAAGAGGCTCAAGAGAGGCATATTCCTGCCGAAACCGGTTTGGCTCAGTGGATAGAGCGTCGGCCTGCGGACTAAAAGATCCCAGGTTCGATTCTGGTCAAGGGCACATACCTTGGCTGCGGGCACATCCCCAGTAGAGGGTGTGCAAGAGGCAGCTGATCAATGACTCTCTCTCATCGATGTTTCTCTCTATCCCTTTCTCCTCCTCTGTAAAAAAATCAATAAAATATATTTTTTAAAAACAGAGGCATATTCCTGTGGGCTTTTACAGTATGGAAGGTAAATTCACCAAAGGTCCTACACTGCCCAGAAAGAGGGGCTCTGCTCATCTGCCTATACCATTTAATAGATGGTCCTAGTATGGTGAAGGGTAGGGAAGGCCTTTCCATTAAGTCACTAGTGGCTTTAAAACCAAGTTTTGTTTTGCGAACACGATTTTATCTCCTTTCCTTCTTCCTTCTTCTCCCTGCTCCCCAAATCCTGTCTTCCCTGTGGTTCATACAGCTACAGCTCCCTAGGCTCTCACCTGCCTCAGTGCAGGGTGTTACTTGCATCAAAACAGATTTGCAACCCCATACACACCAGAGGAAGACAGAAACTCAGGGGAAGGGAAGGTAGGAGAAACATATCACAAGGGTTTGGAACAACAGCGAGAAGAATGAGGTGAAACCTCACCTGAAAAGAGCTCCTTCGCTTTAACCCCCTGTGGCTCAGTGCCTTCTATGTAGACAGCAAGTTGTCGGAGGGCACAAATCACAGATGCTGCCTCCTTGAATCTACACCCCTCCCCAGCCCCCAACCAGGCCCATATTCTTAGCCCTGTGCTTTCCATTCAGTAGGAGCTAAAGGAAGTGTAATAGTTTGAGTGAAACATATGTCTCTTGTGGTATACAAGTGATCATTCCTGAGTGTCCTGATTGCTTGTTAAAAAGATATATTTCCTCAAACTGGTGAATCCAATTGACAAAAGAGGAGCCTGTGAATCTGGACTTTCACTAGCATGACAGCTGACTCCTATCAGCAAGTTTGGGAAATGCTGGGAGAACCACCCTCTGTAGTCTGAATGACCGGGGGAAATTCCAGTTTGGGGACTTCTTGGCTGTCTTACTTGGAGCATCATTGATTGGCTGCCTCTGCATGCTTCCCAGTGGGGACTGACCCTGCAACCTGGGCATGTGCCCTGACCAGGAATCGAACCGTGACCTCCTGGTTCATAGGTTGACCACTGAGTCATGCTGGCTGGGCTTGGCTAACTGGAATCTCAGTTTCCTCATCTTCAAAATTATAATAATGATGTCCATTTTGTAACATCATTAAAAGGATTTTAAAAGCAATTTCAAGAGAATAACAAAGGTCCTGATGTGTAGTGGTTTTTTTGCTAAAGGTCTGTTCCCCTTTATCCGGAAAACACTAGGAAACTACTGAAAGCTTCCGAGCAGATCACATCCAGATTGTTGCTTTACCTTCAAGTCCCTCTGAGACACCCAGGCAAATGGCTGCCCAGCCTATTCCAGAACACCTCCAGTGACAAAAGATCAAACTTACTTTTGGAAGCAGGCCATTCATTTGCAGACAACTTTAATCATTAGCAATTTCTTCCTCTGGTTGAGCTGAGATCTGCCTTGGGTGATAGAACGAATCTAATCCCTTTTCTACATGGTAGGGTGATGCAATTAACTTAGATAATGGAAATGAGGAGTATTAGATGTGTGTTTGGGTGGGGGGGTCCATTTTAACACCCTGCACTGGGAGGGCCAGTTCAGGCCCATGTCCGGCAAGTAGTTGCCATGCATGTCTGCAGTTCAGTAAAGAAATCAGGGCATCACTTACACAATGACATGTGAAAGTAAATCGCATTGCCAGTTAGGGGCAGATTTAATGAACAGGACTGAGGAATGTTCAGCAAGGTAAGAAGAGAGCCTTTAAAGAAAAAAACAAACAAACAAGTAAGCCAGTGGTCGGCAAACTCATTAGTCAACAGAGCCAAATATCAACAGTACAACGATTGAAATTTCTTTTGAGAGCCAAATTTTTTAAACTTAAACTTCTTCTAACGCCACTTCTTCAAAATAGACTCGCCCAGGCCGTGGTATTTTGTGGAAGAGCCGCACTCAAAGGGCCAAACAGCCGCATGTGGCTAGTGAGCTGCAGTTTGCCGACCACGGAAGTAAGCCATGGAAACAACTGTGGTGAAGAAGAAGGCAGTAGTAAATCAGTCATTGAATTTGACGAATAAGGAGGTCATCACTGCTCCCAGGCAGACTTGGGCACCTGCTCCTCTGGAGCTTCTGGGATCTACACCACCAAACTGAAAAGCAGATGCACTTCGCCTCCTACTGAAAGAGGTAATTTGGAGAAATACCAGCAGCAAGGACAGGTAACTCTCATATTTCACAAACTGCATGTGAAGACAGGTTTCTCCAAACAAGGTTCTCATGCTCCCTCCTATCTATTGGGGAAATTGCCTAGTAAGTCTGTCCTGGAGATTAATCACTGAGAAGAAATCTATTTTCCTGTTTAATCCTGCACTTGTTCAACTTCCTGAAACACTGATTTTTGATTTTTTACATAATACTATCAACCTCTCGAGAACTAGTGTTTCCCAGCACAGAATTGGGCAAATAAAAGTAGGGAGCAGAAGAGAGACAAGACGAGAGTTTAAGGAATGATTGGTATCAAGGGAATTTTTTTTCTTTTCTTTTAAGAATGGATGAGAGTTGAATATGTTTACGCGTGGAAGAAAGGGAACCAAGTGTAGAGTGAAAGGCCCAAAACAAGCACAAAAGGCATAGAGCAAGCCTGGCTCTGGGAGAGGGGTTAGCTTAGCGAAGGACCTCAGGTCACTGCTTCGGCCAGGAAACATTGTTTTTTAATTAAGTCTAGTGATCACAAATGTTCACTCTTATAAGCCATTTTTGCTTTGCTTAAATAATACAATGTTAAAAAGATAAGGGTGAGGACAGATTGTGTAAACTGGCTAAACCGCTTAGCTAGAACCAGAGTTCATTCCTCCCCTCCTCCCCAGAGTGCTCCTGGCCGGAGCCAGAGAAGAGGGCTCCATGTCCTCCAGGTCGGGAGCTAACGCCCCACTGCGTCTGCCCAGGCAGGGGGAGCTCTAGCACAAGATAGACAGAGAGGGAAAATCTAAAAATAAAGCTCTCTGAAGAAACTGTTTTGCCTAAAGAGTAGCTTCCCACGCACTCTGTAGTGCCACATCTGTGGGGGCTGAAAGCACAGAACGGAACAATCCTGACAAAGTCACAGAAGTATCACTCTTTAGCAGGGGGGCCGGAGTGCATTGCTGATCCTCATCAATGCCCCCGTGTTAGGAGATCCTGCCTGGGCTTCTTGGCAAAGAAGATCACTGAGACTACTCCGGCCTTCCTGCTCTCCTCCTTTCTCAGCGGGAGGTAAGCACGGCACATGTGAAGAAAGCTTCTCTCAAAACGCAAGGAGTGGATGTGAATGCTTATTTTAGAAAAGAGCCATGAAGGGTTTGGTGGGCTTCAGGCTCAAAGTGGGGCTCCCTCGGCCCCACTCCCAGTAGTAGGGTCATGGACAAATGGCCAACTAAAAAAAATATATATCAACCACCCTGAGAAGAGCTGCAATGAGCCCTTCTGTCAGTTGGCTATCTTCGTTTCCAACCCGAGCACAGAACAGTTGTCATGTTGCCGGGCAACTAGCATATGCAACCTCACCTCCTAACCCCCAAGCCGGTATCAGAAGCCACTAGAAAAAGATCAACCCAAGAGTTTTATACAACCCCATATGTTAGTACTAAACACCCAGGGAGGGAGGACGGAGGAGGAAGACCGCTGGCTCAGGGGAGTAATCCCACCACCTCTTTCTCTAAGGAGTTTAACCTTATAGAGATACAACGTATTTGCACCAACTATTGGAGTTTTGCCAAGAAGCCAGGCAGGAAGAAGGAAATTAATTCTACCAGGAGGTCATAGTGTTCATTTAGCAGTCCAACTCCCCAGGAGGTTTGTACTTTGACCTGACAAAGTATGACAATATGCCTTGAGGGTCAGAAGCTCAACCTTGGACAATATCTTGGAATAATTTTCAGCAGCAATACATGCAAAGATGTATATCCACCCGCCCTTCCTGGGGAATGCACACCATCCTGTCCCATGTCCTATGACTCAGATACAGTAGACCAGTGCAGCAGGGAGCAAACAAACACAATTTATTAAATAAATAAATAAAAAAGAATGCGGCAACCTGTCAGTTTCTTGGTCTCTTAAGAAACCCTGCACCAGCCAAAAACTGGTTTGGCTCAGTGGATAGAGCCTCGGTCTGCGGACTGAAGGGTCCCAGGCTCGATCCCAGTCAAGGGCATGTACCTTGGTTGCGGGCACATCCCCAGTAGGGGGTCTGCAAGAGGCAGCTGATTGATGATTTTCTCTCATCGATGTTTCTAACTCTCTATCCCTCTCTCTTCCACTCTGTAAACAATCAATAAAATATATTTTTTTAAAGAAAGAAACCCTGCACCAGAACACAGTGGTAGTTGATAAGCTCAGATACAAAGCCTAAGGTGTATTATGCACACGTGAAAGGGGGAAGGGATGCAAAGTTTCCCCCTCAAATCACAAATTGCAAGCAAAACACTTTGAACATACCAATGCTCTTCGAATGCTGACTACCAGCAAGCATCCATTAGCCTTTTCTGATTGGAGCACACTAAAATGTTCCCATACTGAGTCATTCCTGAACGAAAAAGAAGAAGCCAAGCCAGCTCATGACCAGGAGGAGATAGAACTGGCCAGAAAGTACACAACCTGAGCATACAGTTGGAAGGATTGTAGTGCTGGGAGTACACACTCCCTACCCCACTAGGTAAACAAGGGCTGGGTTGGACCAGACACCCCTTATGCAGCACAAGGCCTATGGCCTGGAAGTGGGACTTACCTGACATACAAGGACCTCTTCTCACTTGTTCGGAGGGACCCAGACCCAGAGCTCATGCTGCTGTTCATCATTTGTTCTCGCAAGTCATGTATCTTCGATTCAAAGCGACTATACTCTGTCAGGAAGATAAGGGAAAGGGCGATGAAAGAATGAAGCCTAGGAGAGACACTGAACCTGCACACCAGTGGCCCCAGAGCCAGAGGACACTTGGCTTCCTGCAGCCAGAGCCAGCCCAGCTAATCTTTGCAGGGACAGGAAGAGTCTCTCCTCCAAGCACAAAAAGACTTCTCTCCACCCCACACACTCATAGAAGGAAAGGAAACACCCAGGAAAGGAGTAACATTTTGATGTATCAAATGGAAAATGCTTTTATCTGCCTTGTAATCCTTAAAAGAAAATGGGAAAGAGGTTCCAGTGTGGCCTTCATAAATCTTTAGAGCAGGCGCTAAGGCCCAAAGGACAGAAATTCCCAAAAAGAGGACTGCAGAGAACAGATGGCCCTGAGAGCAGGCTGGAGGGGCTAGAAAGGACTAGAGGCCATTAAATGATTGTTAAGCAAGGAAGCCAACTTTTGTTTCTAGGTGTCTTTTTTGAGGGCGAATATTGGAACCCTGTGCCAAGGTATAAACAAACAAACCTCACAATCAGATAAGGAGATCATAAAGCTCTCCTGAGTTACCTCCATTTTAACAGTCTTTGGCCTCAGTATCAATTAAACATTAAAACAAATTCTCTAGTTATTTCCCTTTTAACAAACAGAGGCTTTAGCTTCAGTATCAATTAAACATTAAAACTAAATTCTCTCAAACCTAGAAGTCTGCTAATTCCTCCCTTCTCCAAAATTAGCTAGTCAATAGGATCATAAATACAGGCCCAGCTTAGAGGCCCGCTGACACCAGCTTAACCACCTGTACTACCTATAGGTTTACACCAAATTTAAGAAAACCTGATTAGGAAAACTAACTATAGCCATTATAACTTTATTATAAAAGGCTTTTTTTATAGTACTGCCTTACTGTGACATTGTCCTAATACATTTAAAATATGATATCATTACACACACACAGTTCCACAACATTTTTCGAGTCTAGAATTGCCACATGGAATGGATATATCTAAAGCACAGGCTGTGGAAATGGTAGAAAATAGTCATGCTCTGTATGACCAGCTGAATTTAAAGGAAGTCAAAATGTATTCTAGGGCTCTAGCTGGTTTTGCTCAGTGGATAGAGCATCAGCCTGCGGTCCCAGGTTCAATTCCAGTAAAGGGCACATACCTGGGTTGCAGGCTTGATATCCATTAGGGGACGTGCAGAAAGCAGCCAATCAATGATTCTCCCTCATCATTGATGTTTCTATCTTTCCCTCTCCCTTCCTCTCCGAAATCAATAATGATTAAAAAAATTATTCTAGGGATTGAAAGTGGGGAACTGCTCTAAAAAATAAACACATTTCTGGGGGGGGAGGGGATTCCACAAAAGCATTTTCATGCACCAAGGAGGGCTGGCAGGAAGCATCCCCATGTGGTCTGTGTGTTTGTACCGGCAGAAAACAAAACACCTGTTCCAACACCTGACACCCCCTTCCCTCAGCAAAGCAACCTGACCTTCAGCTGGGTATTAAGGTGAAATGCTAAAAAGCCTAAAGGGGAGGGAATGGGGTTTTAACTCACAAAGTAACCTCTTCTCAACAGTTTCTTTTTGTTCAGCTGGTACCAATGAAGCCAACACCTTAGATTCATGTGCTTTCATTCTTCATGCACTAGTGTTATATTGATTTGTTCTCATTAACTCTGGTCTCTGAAATCCTACAGGAAGTAGTTAAGTCACTGACTCACCCATTAAATGTTGTGGGCGGGGGCGGGGAGGAGGGAAAGAGAGAAAAGCAGCAGCAGGACAATGTCCTTGTTCTGAGGGTTACCTGGCAACACAATATCAATCAGGCATCCCAATCTAAAGGTAGAAGGTGGTGACTGATCTGTCAGAAGCCCTGAACTGCCCAAGAGCGCAACAGTAGGACTGTATACTAAAGAGCCAGCCTGGGCACTGGCCCCATTCCAGGGTTTGGCCCTCCATCCTGGCCCTCTCTAATTGGATCCTTTCTGGCCGTGCTTCTCATTTATGGGCTAAGGGGAGAACCAAGTGGGGCAAAGAGATTTTTGACAAGGCAGACCTTTCTTGGGGAAGATAAGTAAAAGGCAGAAATATGGATTAAACCCAGAAAAAAAATACACCAAACCTATCCTTAATACGTTTTCCCCCTCACAACTTGTTTACATATTCCCTTCTTTGGAACTGACTTGCCTCCTGAACTTCAACTTAGTAGCAAGTCATGGCAGTTGCTTAGTAACTACGTTACTTAAAAAATCCTTTAAGAAAACAACCACCAAACCACCATTTCCTCAAAGCTCCTAATCCAAGGTTGATAATACTGGGCCAGAGGGCCCACTTAAAATAGACTACAGAAAGAGAACAAGGCTACTGCTTTAAGGAATCCACTTTCTGTTTTCTACCTGCTACTAAGTTTTCAAGTCTATTAAATTGTGTTTTATTCTTTTTTTTTTTTTTTTTTTTCCTATTCAGATGATCCCCTTGAGTTTCGGATGCTCAATAGTTCTCAGCTTTTATTTGTAGAGTTATCTAACATCTACTAGGCACAGAGTAGCCTCTGAATAAATGATTATTGGGTAAATGAGCAAATTAGAAAACTGTGCCCAAGTCGACACTTCTGTTCTCAAACTAATAAACCTAATGGTTTATTTAACTGATGGCTGCCAGCTTCACCGAGGGCTTGGAAAGGTAGTTAAGAAGTATTTCCATTTACTTCCTTACCAAGGTTAACTGTTTGAAGCAATTGGGATATGTTTTCTAAACACCCTTCTGATATGTTAATAACCCACAGTGGGCATCTGATTAAGAGACTTTGTTTATAATAAAGAAAAGAACTAATTCTAACATAAAAACTGTTTAAAATAGTCTTAAGATACATAGTACCTCATCTTAATATTTAGAGGCACCATTTTCCAAGACAGAAGCTTCACTGAAAAATTATCTGAATTTCTCCTGGCCAGTGTTGCTCAGTGGCTGAGTGTCAACCCATGAACCAGGAGGTCACAGTTTGATTCCCAGTCAGGGAACGTGTTTGGGTTATGGGCTCCATCCCCAGTAGGGAGCATGCGGGAGGCAGCTGATGGAAGATGTTTCTATCTCATCATGGATGTCTCCAGCTCTTTCTCCCTTCCTCTCTGAAATCAATAACATATTTTTCAAAAAATCATTTGAATTCAGCCTGATCAGGTGGCTCAGCTGGTTGCAGCTGGGTCCAGTACGCCAAAAAGGTTACAGTTTAATTCTTGGTCAGGGCACAGGCCTGGGTTGTGGGTTGCATCCCCAGTTAGGATGCATATGGGAGGCAACTGATTAATGTTTCTTTTACATCAATGTTTCTCTCTTTCTTTCTCCCTCTCTCCCTCCCTTCCTCTCCCTCTCCCTCTCTCCCTCCTCCTCTCCCTTTTTCTTCCTTTCTTACACTCTCTCTGAAAATCAATGGAAAACATATCCTCAAGTGAGGATTTTTTTAAAAATCATCTGAATTCTAAGGCCTCACAATTTGCCAAGGTCCCCTTCCACTCATAACTAATAATTATGTGAAAGTCACTGCCAAGGAAGCCCACAAGACCAGCCTCAACTCAAAGGGCCCACTTCAAATATGCTACTTTAAAACAACATTTATTACTAAAATCTAATCTACTTAACTGTTTTATTCACTTTTCCCATTCAGATGAACCCAAACATTTGTGACCCACAAAGATGTCCATGGTGAATCATCATATCCCTTGTCCCCTTTGCTTATCACAGAGAATAATGAGAGGGATGGGGCAGAATTAGCGGTCATTTCCCCAAACACAGGGTTTCTCACTGATCAACTGAGGTGCCTCTGAAAGATCATGGACTCCACCAAGACATTGACTCAAAACCTATTGAGCAGGCTCACAAATCTGCATTTTTATCAAGCATCAATTGTTATTAAATATGGTGATTCTGATGCCCAATAAAGCTTAAAACTGTTGGTCTTGGATTACAAAATTGAGTTTTGTTTTATTCAGAGAAAAGATAAGGTACATTGTGTCTCAAAAGGAAGGTAAGGGCAGTGCAGGCACGCCACAGTGCTACTGTGCAACCCAGTCTCCCACGGTGACTGGGACCCAGATTCTCCCAGCAAGAGGCAGCACTGAGCACCACTAACTTGACTCTGTTTCTTACCATGTGGGCCTGGGATTCCTGACTCACAGCGCATTCACACTAAGAGCCAATGACTCCAATTCTTGGTGCATACGCACATGGGAACCCTGATTCTCAGCGAGAAGCCGCACTAGGCAACAGAGACTCTGATACTCTATTCTTGGTGCAGACACAGGGAAACTCTGACTCCTGGCACGTGCTAGGGGACTCATTTTTAGCATACGCCAACAGCACAGTGCAGGCGGGGTCTATGATTCTAGGTGCGCACATGAGACCACACTGAACCCTAGTAACATTGATCCTGGGTGTGCCTGGTTCCCACCAACCCACGGCAGCCACATGTCCTAGTGTCAGAGTACTTCAGTGACACTTGGGTGGTGCGAAGCTCCCATTGCCCATGGCCCAGGTCCATGCAACTCAAAGGTTAAACCTTCTGGTGATAATCAGAATAGGAAGACGACACAAACCCCAGAGGAAAGAAAATGAGAAGTCGCCAAGAAAGGAAATTAGTGAAATTGATGCATGCAACATGACCGAAAAAGAATTCAGAGTAATGGTCGTGAAATTCATACGTCAGATGGATGAGAAAAGCAATAACCTATACAAGAATCAGGAAGAAATGAAAAAGTGATATAGCTACAATCAAAAACACTGTGGAAAGTTTCAACAGTAGACTAGAAGAAGCAGAGGACCAAATTAGTGAGTTTGAAGAGAAGGTACAGAAACAAGCCCAATCTGAACAGCAACTGGAGAAAAAAAATTAAAAAGCAGGAGGAAAGCCTAATGGAGCTTTGGGACAACATGAAAAGAAGTAGCTACGTATAATAGGGCTCCCAGAAGGACAAGAAGAGAAGCAAGGATTAGAAAATCTATTT